AGTCTTTCGCATTTATGGTTTTATTACAATTTCAATTTGTATTTGGAATCTATTTATTCCTAGTTCTAAGTAATTGTAACGCAATTCCGTCTACGGACTGCCATCTTCAATATTCTAATAAACTATCTATTTATCTATCTATCTATCAAATAACTGCAATTGGGGCCGTTGATTTGGAGAATGCAGGAAGCTTAAATATTTTACCTCATGCAGAACTCAAAACAGTGGGTTTTGTGTATCACAGGCAGTTTTTTATCTTCCCATCGAAGGAATTGTTACATAGTGGTAAAACCAAAATGGAGGAACTAGTAAGACTGAGACCCCCCTGCCCCCAACAACTGGACTGTATCAAACTAGGACAATCAGAGAACTGGCATCTAAACATGTACATCTACATCTATGTACATCAAATGATTTACCTTGTGTATAAAGTATTTTATTTAACCAATATGTGATTTTTAGGGGAACTCCATAGGGTACTCCATGGAGTAGGGCTGCACGTTTTGTCATCTCTGGTGAGAAAGTTTTGTGACTTTCGTGAGAATGATGTATCACCTCTGAATACTAAAGTGACAGCAGACCCCTGCTCCTCTTACTTCCTAACTAACCTTTCCCCCAATTGGCGTGATTATTTCAGTTTTCAAGACAATGGCAACTTCCATTCCAAAAATAACAACAGCATGATTGACATGTTAGTTAACATGTACACTGATGAATGGCTGCATGTTTGTCAATATCTTTCATTGGAGAAGTGCACATTGCAAAACTTTACAAAGCGTTACACACTGCAATAGTCAAAACTGAAAAGTGTTCACAAGGATAGGAAGGAGTTATAATTATCAGTGTTTGTATGGAATGGGGAAGAAAGGCAAAGAAAGTGATTCATGGTTGATTGTATTGATATAAGCTAAGCTGTTCTTGTTTTCTTGCATTGTTCAACTCATTTATGTTCATATATAATGAATCAAATGAGAAAAGAAAGCTACTTTTGGCCTCGTTTAAAATCAAAGCTTAAAAACAAGGACATCCATTGAGTATGGAATAGACTTGCATCTTAGCTTACTTACTAAAAGCTGATCCAATTTCCTCAATTGGATCTCTATGCTTGAAATAGATCACATATCTCAACCTACAACTATATGAATTCTTTCCCTGTTATAGGACAGTAGACTGGGTTAGAGAAAGTCTGTATTGTTAACCAAAAGAAGCAAGAGGTCTTGGAAAGAAATCCGTTGAGATATTTTTCTCTGATTTTCTGTCACACTATACTCTATTACTAATTCATTTGATGTTGATTAATTGCTCTCAGCCTACTCAATCAATAAATTTGAGTTAGCAATGCAAATGTGGATGAAATCGTTCTTTCATTTCTTTTGAATTGAAAGTTTTTTCATAATTTAAATCTGAATCCATTATTTTATGAGAAAGACAGTTGATCATTATTTTGTGATTTGTCAGGTGTAATATTTATTGAAAATGGAAGGAACTTTAATGAAAATGAGACTGAGTATATTTCATCACCCAGGCAGGAAAGGTGATGAACTTGTCAGCAATTTTCTCATATCAAGTGATAAAGGCACAATCAAAGCTTGATTTTCCAGACCTCAAGTATCTGAATTTTTCAATTATCCAGACTTGCTGCTTTAGATCTGTTCCTTTTCTTGTCATGTTGTTTCTCAGCTTTTAATGCTTTTTGTAAAATCTCTTGGCATATGCTAACACTCATATGCAAAACAAGGTGAGAGTAAGTTAGGCAGATCCAAGATACTGGTATCTGGATTGGTGTTGAATTTCAATAATCCTGTTTAGAATGTTTTTATCATGTTTTTACCATTTTTGCATCATTAGAAGTTATTTTGGCACATGTAGTTTGTTTAAAAAATTAGGGCCTTTAGATGGATCGACAAGTTTGGGAAGTCAAGTTAAAATGTGTCATATTTTCGTAGATGTCATCATGTTTTTTTCGTATATCAATCATGAATAAAGATTGGAAATGTCAATTAGCTATGCTCCAACACTTTGATGTTAATAGACTAATGTTTTAAGTTAAGCTGAAATTATCAGTGAGATTAAATTTCAGCCCAAGGAAAAGTCAGATTAGTTCAAGTTAGTGAGGAGTTTGAGTTGAAGAAGTTTGAGTTAGCATGGTTCTACTTTAATTCTGGTTCCAGTTTGTGGGAGGGGTGGTGGCCTCATGGTTAGTGCACTCAACTCAGATCAAGTGGTCTGGGTTTGAGCCCAGGGTGGGGACATTATGTTGTGTTCTTGGGCAAGACACTTTACCCTCACAGTGCCTCGCCCTCTTCACCCAGGAGAATAAATGGATACCAGCTGGGGGTAACTCTCCAATGTAGTAGAAATACTCCTAGTCACCTCATGCTACACAAATTAGATTTAAGCATTTGTCCAATGGGCCACTTGGCTCATAAACAGACTTTACTTTACCTTTGAGCAGTTAGCAGTCAATTATCTGACACCTGATAATTAAGCCTTTCCTTGAAATACAAATATTTCTAATGTTCTTGGTTTTCTAATGTCACAGTTAATCTTTTATTTGTTTCTTTGTCTAATGCAGTGTTTGATTACCCTTTGGGGCTCCTTACAAGTATCACCATGACAACAGTGGAAGGGACTACTGGCACATCAGAGATGGAGCAGTCAGCATCTGCTTCTGTGCACAAAGTAAAAGTTGTGGCCCCATGCAACACTGGTTCTGGAACATCATCATCCAAGCTCAGTGGGGGAACACCAAGATTGTCAGGTCTGATCACACAGTAAATAATTAGGAACTGCATGTGGATAACTTTTGATCATTTGAGTTTATCAGTCGAGATTGATCATGGTTGATGGCTTGCAAGAATGTTTATTACAGTTTTCTAAAAGGAGATTGCTTAAACCAGAGTAGACTAAGGTACCAGTAGCTCTTTTCAATGGCAGAGACTAGCTTTAGACTCATCCTTATTGCCTACAAACATTTTACAGATTTCCAGTTTGTTGTGGGCCTCCTAAATTGAAATGTTTTAATTTTCTAAGATCACCTGCATATTGCAATGACATGAAGATTAACTATTAATTAAGATAAAAAATCTTATTGGTTACACATAATTGAAAAAATAATTTATCGCCTGAAAACCACTCAACCATGCAAGGTCAAATTCTTTAGCTTAGTCTAAATAGTCCCAACTTTTGGAGCACCTCCCTTCTTTTTCTTTCTTGAAAATTTAATTCAAGATGAGATTAGTTTGTCATTGTCACAGAAGAAGGGAAATATTTTATGTTTTCATGAATTCGTAACATAGAAGACATCCCCCCACAGAAAACAGTAAGCTGTTTGCAAACATTTTTTCATGTACATTGCAATATATTTGAAGGATAATAAACACAAAAGCCTTAATTTTGTGTGAAAATATGCTCGTATATTTGTCCATGGATATTATCAAGCTCACAGTTCTCTCAAACTTTGCACTTGGAAAACTGTTTGCAGTTTTGAACAGACAATGCCTGCAGACCAATATTGGTGCATATTTTCACAGCAAAGAAAGAAAATTCTATATTTATTTTCTTGCTTTACCTTGTACCTCAGAACTCTGTCGCTGGAAGACAGCAATGACAACAGTGAGTCTACATCATGATAATGAAAGACCTTCAGCTGAGGCATGAAGCCAATATGATGTAGGGCAAAATAACTGATCAGGAAAATTCTGATTAGTCTGAGTCCCAGAGCATCTGCCACATTTACCACTCTTCTGGGAAAGAAGCCCTTATAACTCCGTGCTACTGTTCTGGCTTGGCAAAACATGTTCATGCAGCATGTCTTTTGACATGGTTTAAAAAAGAAGTGAAGATTACTTGTGAATTGTGCTGGCATAAAATTGATATCAAGAAAAAGGGGAAACCTTTTGCTGAGGTAATTTTTATTTCCCAGCCTTTTTCTATTGATAGACATTTTTACAGTTGGTCTCATTTTACCATCATCAACATTTTTCAATTCATCATCAAATTCCTCCTTGTTACCGTCATCATCATAGCTTTCATCATTATTTTCACCGCTTATTCCATACCCTTATCCCCCTTTCTATTCTACTCTCTCCTCCCCCTACCATTTGAGCTTTTGTCCCACTCTTTTCCCTTAAACCTGGTTGTAGATTAAGAGCTGATTGAAGGTGCTTGTGCCTTGTGAGTCCACAGCATTTTGACCACTGTGATGATGATGAATATTGTTGTCAATTAAAGTACAGACCATATTAACCTTCCTAGAAGTGATTATCATGTAACCTTTCTTTATCACATCCATACATTTTCCAGAAAAAAGATAGTGAGAATACCTATCAGTTTTTGTGTTGATCTAGCATCATATTCTTGTAAGTATGTTAAAAGGGAATGTATAGCAGCTAGAGGGGAGAATTAGCAATCAGATCTTGGAAGTTAAAGGATTTAAGCCTTAGAAAATAGAAACCAGAGACGTTACAGATATGCACTTCTAGTGAAAAGTAATTTAGAAATTTCAATTCCAATTGCATATTTGCAAGACTAACATAGTTTCTCTCCTTTATCCTTTGGCCAGGGCACAGACCAGAAGATAATAAAAGCCAACCCCCATAATCTGGTTCACTGTATTTGTTGTTGGACTTTTCCTTAATTTGTTCTCCATCTCTGTGAGTGCTGCTGAACTTTGCACTTCAGCAGCTTGTGCAATAATTTTCAAGGTGGTGAATGGATTTGGAATCATTCTTGATACTGCAATTCTTTACTGCTGGTGGACAAAATGTCTGTTTTATTGGCAGAAGTGGTTCACACTTAACCAGGAGTGGCTTATTGTAGTCGGCATTATGGGTAGTCTGCTCTGCAGTGATGCAACCAGGGTCAGAAAGAAGCAGTGGA